GCGACATTGATTGGGCTAGTCATTGGTATTCTAGCATTCTGCTGCGCTGTCTTGCACTACGTGATAGAGGTCAGTCCCGGTCAGGTCAGGACTTATATCCAAGTCTCCCACTGCGCTATAAAGCACCATTTTTGTATGTATCCGGATGTACACTGCTTGTTGAGATTTCACTTGCACTGCATTGTCCATTCAGTCCTTTTTATCACATTGCGGATCCTCGGTTATTTATGTACATCGCCCAACTGGGCATGTAACTCTCTCTCTCTCTCTCTCTCTCTCTCTCTCTCTCTCTCTCTCTCTCTCTCTCTCTCTCTCTCTGTGTTTGTCGTTGCTGACTTTGCAGGTGTGTGTCACCTTCCTCCAGCGGAGCGGCTATGGCGGACTCTTCTCCTTCAGTTTCCGCTATGGCACGTGGAATAACGGGAACCTGCTCTGATACCAATGCAATCAGACTCACTTTCTTCTTACTTCGCATGCATGTAAACAGATGGCAAATCACTCTGGCGCCAGGCGCCCACACAAAGCTCATAGATATTATAGACGAGAACACAGTTCAGATACAAGCTCGCTTCAAGCAACTATGGCGCCTGCGCGCCCTTACGTCACCCCTCGCAACACCGTATCCTCTCAACTTGTCCACACGCACACTTCATTGGATCTCCCTGGATATCCCACGCACATTCACTCTCACTGTACACTCATATACATACCCTGAAGACTACTCTAAGCTGACGTAGCTATGGCTGCTCGCTAACCCTAGCACTACTAGCAGCTATGGCTGCTCTATCTCTCTCGCAGCCCACTCAAGCTTCGGGCATCTGCAGACCACCTCGCGCAAGACGCACTGGCAGCGCTTCCGCTTGGTTCGCAACAGAATGAATGAATTGCTGGACGCTGCCTCTTGATTTATACTTCTGTTGGCCACTGGTCTGCCCCTTTCCACCAGGCCCTTGGTGCACACAGTCCCACACAGTACTTGCTTGACTGGACTGAGTGTGACTGGGACCGGTACCGCTGACTGCACGGGGTTGCACTGCCGACTCGACGCAGTTGGACTTACGACTTGCCTACAGACCTCTAGCCTAGCAGTTTCGACCTCTACACAGCTGTAACCCCTTTTTTTTTTTTTTTTACAGATCGAATCTCTACAGCTACATGACCTACGACAAAGAACAGTCACTACTAAAACACAGGTTGCGGGCTCAAAACACACAGGGGTCTACTCGATACTGTACACGGGTGCAGGTAGGGTCTAGGGATCGAACCCTGGGATCTGCATCTGCTTCCGCAAAGGTGAAAACCGTTTCAGGGAGTTCATTGTCAGCTTCAATAAGTGCATGAGCGGCAGTATAGTTTTCACCCCTGCCTAGCATAGTTGTAGTATTCACCTGTGTCTCGAAGTCTATAGAATGGTTGGTTGAAACATAAACAAGATGGGGAAGAATGACAGTGTGGGAAGCCGTATCTTCAGTGTGATCAATACTGATTATTGTATTAATGTATTTGTTATTTTATCGGAGGCTGCAGTTCGTTTCCAGCAAGTGAGGATGCAGCTTTGTCTAGGGAAAAAGAAAAGAAAAGGGAGATAAAAAACGTGAAACATAAAGGAAAGGAGTCACAAAGATTGGTTGGAACTTGAAGATGATGATTACTTTAAGCTGATTTGCTGTGAGCAGCCGGATATCTGCAGGAACACGGTCTCCAGTTCTCAACTGAACCAGATCTCCTGGAACTAGGTCATGTGCATCGATTATACAACACTGCCCATCTCTCATGACAGTAGTTTTTGAAGGAAGTAGTTTCTTCAGGCCTGTCGGATAGAGTACCGAAGACATTATTTACGACAAGACAAGGCAAGAAGAGAAAGAAAAAGAAAAGTAAGGATACAGAAGAGCAGCAGCAGCAGCAGCAGCAGCAGCAGCAGAAGAAGAAGAAGAAGAAGAAGAAGAAGAAGAAGAAGAAGAAGAGGAAGAAGAAGGAGAAGGAGAAGAAGGAGAACGAGAAGAAGAAGAAGAAGAAGGAGAAGAAGAAGGAGAAGAAGGAGAAGAAGGACGAGNGAGGAGGGGGACGAAGAAGGGGAGGAAGAAGGGGAGGAAGAAGAAGAAGAAGAAGAAGAAGAAGAACAAGAACAAGAGGAAGAAGTGGAAGAAGAAGAAGAAGAAGAAGAAGAAGAAGAAGTAGTCACACATGCACAATCACAATTCAAACTTCTTTTAGGGAAATTGAACGGACTTTAGGGATGGGCTCTCTGAGCCTCTCTCTTATAACTGAAGCCTTACGAAGAACCCACACGTTATTAGCATGGCTGTTGCACAACAACACTAAGGGTCACGCCCCACTGGTGTTATGTTCACGCAAGGAAAGCCCAAACCTAGCTTCCATTACGGTCAGGTTCATGCTCTTCAAGCATGAACATCGTGTCAATGGGGCTTGCCCCTAATTCATCGAGACTGAGCAACCTGAAATTAACAATATGACAATATGTTTATTTCACCAAGATGATAGGCATTAATTTCACATGCAAAGCTGGGGGAGTTGGTCCACTGACACCCCACACACCAGTTCTCCCCCCCCCAACCTCTTTTTTTTTTTTTTTTTTTTTTGTTTTGTTTTGTTTTTAAGCGGGCCGCTCCATCTATTGGTGGGGAGCATCACCTGCTGGAAACTGGGTCAAGCGTCCCTTAAATACATCAAATTCTCGTATAGCACCTTTTGGAAAACTTGAAACCCTGCCAGCATTGATTGCCCTGGGTTGCAGGGGATGTACTGAGCAGGGTTTATATCTTTTAAGAAAAAACTCTGCCGTCGGTAGTCTGGGAGGGAAGATCAGATTGCATCTTGGGCCCGGGGGACACCGGGACTCAAGGCTATCTCCCCGCCACCAATCCTCAGAATTGACTCCGAATTTTGACTCGAAATTGGGCTGAAAAAATGCTGCAAGAACAGCTGAGGCATAGGTGAGTCAGTAGTATGGATGATCAGATACCATCCCCCAGATATTCCTACAGGGCCAGCGAGTTGGGGGGGAAAGGGTCGGTGAAATCTTGAGCCGGTCTTAATGGTTCCCTGGGATCCACCCTTGTCCATTCGTGGAAATGAAGCAGATAATCCCTTTCCACCTCGACCCCTTGCCCCTGTTTCTGCTGTCAGTCCTGACGCTGATCCAGCCTGTCTGCTGTCCAACTCACTCTCG